CCGAGGACGTGCTGGACCTTGGTCCCTGACCCCGGACCCCGTGCGGGTCCAGACCCGACTCCCGCTCCACCTGGCTGCAGCCCGCCTTCGCCGGCGTGGACCCCAGGCCAGACCCCCACCGTGCGCCTCCCACCAGCCCCGTGTCACAGCAGGGAGGCGCGGCAGTGGGTGCTCGAGCCTCTCAGAACCCATGTACCCCAACCCGGGTCCCCATCCACCCACTTCCAAGGCCAGCGGCACTTTGGGCACTGCGACCCTCTCCTGGTGGCACGAGGCCTAGTTCTGCCTCCCTCTCCGGAGTGGTCCCTGCCCTGGAGGGGATACTAGGTGAGGCTCGCCCCCCAGGCCTCCACTCAGAAGAGCTGGTGAAAGGAACTTCATTTGGGCGAAAAAGCCCATAAAAATCCACGTCCACCTCCAAGAGCACAGCCCCTAGGAGCATCATGGCCCCAAGAGCATGACCCTAGGAGCACCCCCTAGGAGCACAGTCCCCCAGAAACACCATCCCTGGAGCATTTGACCCCGGAAGCACCAACCCCCAGGAGTACCATGCCCCAGGAACACAGTCCCCCAGGAGCACCCCCCCAGGAGCACCCTCCCTGGAGCACCAGCCCCCAGGAGCATCATGCCCCAGGAACACAGTCCCCCAGGAGCACCCCCCCAGGAGCACCAGCCCCCAGGAGCACCAGCCCCCAGGAGCATTGTGGCCCCAGGGGCATGATCCCAGCACCATCCCCCAGAAGCACCATCCCCCAGAAGCACCCCCAGGAGCATCATGACCCCAGGAGCACTATCTCTCAGGAGCACCCCCCCAGGAGCACCTCCCCAGGAGCACCCCCCCAGGAGCACCCCCCCAGGAGCACCCCCCAGGAGCACCCCCCCAGGAGCACCGTCCTCCAGGAGCACCCCCCCAGGAGCACCGTCCTCCAGGAGCACCCCCCAGGAGCACTGTCCCCCAGGAAGACTCTTCCCCAGGAGCACCCCCCCAGGAGCACCCCCCAGGAGCACTGTCCCCCAGGAAGACTCTCCCCCAGGAGCCCAGTCCCCCAGGAGCACCTCCCAGGAGCACCTCCCAGGAAGACTCTCCCCCAGGAGCACTCTCAGGACACAGAAGAAGGACAGCCATCCACTTCATCGGGCACATCCAGACCCACACACACTGACGGCCATGTTGGGTGAGGGACTGTGGCTGCCCAGAGGGGACCTCTGCCTCCTTGACTGCAGTCAGTTTCCTGTGTCTTTTGAGGAGGCACTTGGTGACAATGACCTCCTCTGTTGGCTAGCAGGCCAGGCCAGCTGAGCTCCTCGAGGCAAGGGCTGTGGGGCTCCCCGGGCAGTGAAAGGTCAGGAAGGACCTGCTGGCCCCAAAGCTGCTCCTGACGGAGGGACAGGCAAGGTGCATGGGGAAACTGAGGCCACCCCGTCTGTGGTGGCTTGTTCTTCCCCCCACCCAGGAGCAAGTCTGACTTCTGGGGTTGAGTTCCTTCCCAGGATGTGGTCCAGCGCCTGCGGGAGCACAAGGGCCCTGGAACGGACAGTCAGGCAGCCGCAGATCAGGAAGAAAGGCGAGTTTCAGGGTCGACTCCCCGTGCGGCCAGCAGAGGGCAGCAGAGGTCTGGCCGGCACTGCGTGGGTAGCGGCCAGTGGAGGCTGAGGGCTGCTCACCAGCCTTTTCCCCTCAGTGTCTGGGACACACGTAGAAGGGCAGATAACGTGCAGACCCCGACTCCTGCCCCGCGCCTTCCCTGCAGCTAGTGGCGTGCAAGCTGGTCAACTGGATGGGAACGCCAGCCCCCGACCCCCGCAGCCCCTGGACACTTCCTCCTCCCACCAGGGCAGGCCTGGGGCAAGGGCAGGAAATGACTGGCAGGCCATTCTATAAGCCAGGGCCACTGGGAGAGAGAAGGAGTTGGTGCCACAAACCACGGCTTCCTGCCTCAACAGCCGCCCACCCCCATCTGGGCAGGGAAGGCCCCTGCACCCCTACACTGCCCCTCAGCTCCAGCCCCCTGCCCCAGAGCTTGACCTGCATGCCCAAAGGGCAGCCCGGACTCCCTCCTCAGCACTGCTCAGGGACCACCAAGCCCTCCTCCTCATGTCCCCAGCAAGGGGTCCCCTGGCAGGGGCTGCCCCCTCGCTGCCCTCCTGCCACCACCCAACAGTCAGAGGGGACCCCAAGTCACAAAGCCTGCTAGGGCCTGTGAGATGGGGTACCTTTGACCCCAGCTGGGCTTCCCTTGCTCCGGCTTCAGCCCTTTGGGGGTGGGGGATGGGTCTCCAGTAAAATACCTTTGGGGGGGTGAAGGGAGTAGGGGGCAAGCTGGGTGCAGAGCAGGGGACAGAGCCTGAGGTGGGAGCGAGCAGAGGGCAGAGAGGCTGGTGGCTGGGCCAGATGGTCCCAGACAAGAGGATGGGCAGGGACAGATACGCGGGGGCCCTCCTGCCTGTGCACAGACTGGACACAGCTCTTCAATGTTTGCTCTTTACTGGTTCTGTGCCTGCCCACTGGAGCCAGTACATACCAGCCTGCTGGTCACTGCACTCGGTGCTCACATAGCCCACACCGGGGGTCACCCACTGTGGAAGGAGGCTCCTACCCCGGGACCAAGGCATCTGGGCTTGGCCCCCAGCCCCAGGGCCCTACCTTCAGCTCCATCTTCACCCCACGTCCCAGGACAGCTGGGGCCACCCCCTCAGTGACTCCCTCCCTGTCCGCCCCATCCCTTCCTCAGATGTCTCCCCCAGTGCCCACCAGCCTCCCCCTTCATGCAGCCTCCTGCTCCCTGGCCTCTGAGACCCATCTCCTCCTTCACCAGGTAGGGCCCTGAGGTTTTACTCAACATCCAGTCAGGCTTGGAACCAGCCCTCGAGGTCCTCGTAGACCTGGCCACGTGGCAGGTGGGGGTAGCAGGAGCAGATGTGGCAGAAACGCTCCTGCCAGTCGCTGAGCAACCGCACACGCAGCCGGTGGCGCCATGCAAAGAAGCGCTGGTAGCGGCTCTCGTTCATGCCGGCCAGGAAGCGGGCCAGCTCGCGGGCCGAGCCAAAGTCGTCCACGTGCACAAAGGCGTCAGGGGGCACAAAGGCCTCATAGTTGGCCCGCGGGGGACCCAGCACCACTGGCACGGCGCCAGCCACCAGCGCGTTACGCCAGAACTTCTCGGTGATGTAATCACGGTGCTGGGAGTTCTCAAAGGCCAGGTAGAAGCGGTAACGAGCCACAGTGGACAGCAGGCAGTTGGCACAGAGAGGCCGCCCACTGGCACGCCCAAACACATCTACGCGCAGGTGGGGCGCCAGCTGCCGGTACAGCTGCACCCGCCGCTGGCGCTCCTGGAAGTTGCTGACTACCCAGGCGGCCACCCCTCTCTTGGCTGGCGGCAGCGGGGGCAGGGGCCCGGTGCGGGGCTCCAGGCGGCCGTAGGGCACAAAGATGTCCGAGTCTCGGCGGTAGCTCAGCACCCAGTTGAAGATGCCACGGAAGCGGCCGAGGCCACGCGTGTGGCTGGGCGACTCCATGGAGGCCCAGACCCAGGGCTGCCCGCGCGGCCGCCGGTCCAGAGGCAGGTGTACCCGACGCACCTGTAGCTCGCGGTGGTGGAAGACCACAGCGTCCGCGCTGGCCAGCAGGCTGCGGTTGGTGCTCAGGCGGCAGCGGGGGGCACCGAAGCGGGCACACGTGTTGCCCGGCAGGTCTGGGGGCCAGTCCGTGAAAGGCCAGTGCCAGATGAGGATGGTGAGGGTGGGCTGGGGCTCCTGGGTCCCCCCAGCGCCCGGCCAGGGTGCTCGCAGGAACCAGAGGGCCAGGAGTAGGACACCCACACCCAGGCCCCCCACAGCCCGCAGCCTCCACCTGGCCAGGACCTGCAGCAGGGATAAGAGGAGGAGAGGCCATCACCCCAGGGGGGCCCAGAGACACCCACAGCCCGCCGCCCACTCCCCATGGCCGGGCTTCCTCACCATCAGGCACACGCAGGCACCTGTCATCCAGCACCACCCTCAGCCACACGACCAGAGTCAGTTAGGGCGGCACCTTGTCCTTAAATCACAGCTGCCGTCAGGCAGAGGCTCCCAAAATCACAGCTGTGCGTGCTCCGCCCCACGCTGAACAGGCCACCTTCCCGCTGCAGCCCCACCCCCGCCAGAGGGCCAGGCGGCCTTTGGCATTGCCAGCTCCTCTGCCCCCCGCCTCCCTGTCTGGGGCTCTGGTGCTAGGGGGCGGCTACTGGGGACCCCACATCCTTCAGACACAGCTCGCAGCTGACCCTACCGTGCCCTGTTGCTCACCACAATTGTAGGTCTGCACCTAGCCAGTGGGGACCCAGCCTGGCCCCGCTGGCTGCCGAAAGGCTCAGAGGTGACCCTGAACACACAGGAGGGCAGGAGCAGGCCTGGCTGGCCTCAGGGAAGGCGCCCACGTGGGGCACCCCAGAAGGGCTGGCACCACCCTCCCACCAGCTGTGGTCTCGCCCACTTCCCTGCTCACTGCCTGTCCCCCTGGGGCCCCGACCCTCGCAGCACATGCACTCTGCTGAGCTTCCTCCGCCCCCCCAGGCCAGGCCACCCCCACCTGCAGGCACCTTGCCCCAGAACCCAGATCTGCAGAGAGGGGTCTGCTCACACGAGGCCCCACGACACAGGGCACAGGGCGCAGCAGGCGCTGCCGCGTGGGTATCCTGCCCAAGGACACTTCAGGCTGGCCCGGGGTCCTGGGTCTCCTGGTCACTTCCTTTGGGCCTCAGCTAGGCCGCCTCAGGGAGGGGGCTTTCCAGGCTGGAAGGGGAAGGAGACATTCCGTCCCTGACGCAGGCGGGCAAGGGGCTGGCGCCTGATGCAGGAAGAGGAAGACCTGAGGGCCAGACCCACCTCCTCTGGCTGCCCTAGGGTCCACTTCCTTCCCCTCTCGCTCTGACCCCTCTAGGCCGGGAGGGTCACCAACTCAGCAGCCGTACAGAGGGACCCCAGCTCCAGCCGCACCCCACTCTCCACAGAAGTAGCACCCTGTGGCCCCCTCCCCCCAGCTGGACCTCGCCCTGCCTGCTGTCCCGGACCTGTCCCTGGCGTGGCATGGCCTGGCCCTTCTATGCACAGTCTTGCAGGCCCTAGAGCATGTCTTAGGGAAGGAACAGCGACCAGGAACTGCCAGCCAGGCCCACCTCCCCCACTCCCAGAGGCCTTGCCCTGCCTGGCCACTCTCAGGGCCCACAGACTGCTGGCCACCCTGAGGGTGAGGATGCTATCCAGGGTGAGGCCTGGGAGCTGGCAACGGACCCCAGGGGGTGGAGGGAAGTCCAGGAGAGGGGAGGCAGTGGGGCCCCTCAGAGCCTCCCCACCCCCTGCCCCAATAACCTCTGAGTTGTGGTGGGAACTTGTGCAAGACCTGACCTGAGGGGGAAGGGGGGCTGCGGATGAGGCTCAGCCTCCCGCCGGTGCTACCAGAGTGGGCCCGCTGGCCCGGCCGTCCAGAGCCACCCAGAGTCAGGGTGCCGAGGCTCGCCCACACTCGGCTTCCTGACGGGGTAACCCCAGGGGAGTCACGCCCTGGCTTCAGCCCTCTCTTCACCCCACCTCTTCTCCTTGCAGCAGGCAGAGAAGGGGGGCGCAGGAAGAACAAGACCCTGCTGCAGCCCGCCAGGGACCTGGCCATCCTTCCTGTTTTTGATAACCAGCCTGGCAGAGCCTTGCCACAGGCCCCACCCGCACCCACAGCCTCCCCACCGCGCCCTAGGCTGGGCTACCCCACCAGCACAGGTTGGTGGCTGTGGAGGCCCAGGTTCTGGGAACATGCCGGCAGGAAACGAGGGGCTCAGAGGGGGGTCCCAGAAATGGGTCAGAATGAAAGAAAGGTGTGAGAGAATGAGTCAAAGGAAGGTTGGTGACTCAACCTGCTGTCACCCCTGCCCAGTGCCTCCTGACCTTTGGGCCCCTGTGATGCAGGTGGGAGGCATCCACATGCGGGCTGAGTTCAGCAGCCAGCGAGCATCATGGGATCAGCAGCACGGCTGTCCCCACTACACAGCCCCAGAGCCCAGCGGCACGGCACTGATGAAGAAGCCTCAACCCAGCGGCCACGTACAGAAGGGCAGGCCACTGGGCCGCAGACTGCTGTCCCCTGCAGGCGGCAGCACCCGGGCAGCTGTGGGTGAGGCCACCGTGGAAGGCCAGCTGCTAGGTTTGTCTCAAGGGCCCCCTGGTGGTTATGCCCTGAAGTCACCTGACTCCTGTGATGGAGGCAGCAAAGGCTGAGCAGTGGGTGGAAGGGGTGGGGCTGGGGTCCAGGGAACACTGCTGGGCTCACCTTCAGGCAGGGGGTGCGTGGAGGATGGGGTTCCAGGAGGCTCATAGGGAACAAGGGGGACAGTCACAGAATCAGACACCCACCACCTGAGCCCAGCCCCTCACTCTCCTCCCTTCAGGCCCACACCCTTGTCCAGGTGCAGCTCTTGGGTCAGCTCCCAAATGACTCTCCCATGCCTTGATGCCCGTGGATCAGCACTTGGACCTCTCCTCTGTGATGCCCAACTTGAGGTGGCTCCGGGCCCAGCCCACCACCCCCCAGGCTGCCAGGAGGGTGATGGGTGTGAACTGCAGGGGAGGGGAGCACCCCATGGGTCCACCACCGGGGGAGGGAGTCTCACTGCCTAGAGACTTGTCGAGGGATCACACCAGCTATGTGCTGTGCCAAGGACGGGCTCACAGGTCGCACAGGAATGAGGGTGTTGCCTGTGGCCTCTGGGGGGCGGTGCACTGGACTGGAGAAGTTAGCCCAGGAGGTCACATGTTGTGGTTCCCTGGTGCCGCTCTGATGGGAATACACCACCAATGGGAGGCCTTAACAAACAGGAGTTTATTCTCTTACAGCGTGGAGGCTTTAAGTCCAAGTTCAAAGTGCCAGGCCCTAGGGGCTGGGGGAAAGCTCCTCAGCCTTGGGCTTCAGCTCTGCTTCCTGCTCCCGGCCCACTGGAGCTGGAGGCTTTTCTTCACTCAGACAGCTGCTGGGGCCTCCCAGTGCAGGCCCCTCAGCTTGTCACCTCAATGCAGCCACCTCTGGAAGGAGGCACCTTCTTCACCCAGTCCTCGGAGAGTGGGCAGCAGGCCTGGGGGCAGGTTTGGGATCCCCAAGAAAAGGAAACAGGGTACACTGGGGCCACTCCTGGCACCCAAGTCAGGCCAACAGGGTGCTCCAGGCCTGGGCATCCAGGCTGAGGGTTGGAACAGGCCCCAGGTACCTGGCTGGTGGCACCCAATCCAAGGGAGGCAAGGGGGAGGCATTTGGGGCCCCAGCAGATGCTAGGAAAAGGAAGGTGGGGACTGACAGAATCTGGGCATTCCTCAGGACCTCAGTGGAGGCCCTGGTTCTAGAGACAAGGTGGGCTGCCTGCTGGCAACCAGCCCCCAGCCCAGATGGCTGTGTACCAGAGTCCCCAGTTCAAGATACAGACAGGCACAGTGACTGACCTAGGCTTGGGCCAGGGCCAAGGCCTGGGACAAAGTGGCTGAGCATGACTTTGGACCTTCCTGGGAGAAACCTTGTTGCCCCTCCCATCCTGCAGCCAGCACTGGGGGGAGGGGCAAGCACCATGGCCCCAGGGACACCAATGGCCCAGGTCTGCAGACCAGCCCAGCACCCCGTGGGGCCTTGAGCAAGACTTCCTCTCTGCACCCCAGCGTTCCTGGAAAGAGGATAACATGACTCTCTCCTCATGGCACGGATTACATGATGGGGCCCATGGGGTACTCGGTCTGACCTGAGGATGCTGGCTCCTGGCCTGGCCCCTTCATCCTGTCTTGCACTAGGCCCTACTGCTGCCTGGTCCCAGAAGCCCATGTGCTCAAACTTGCACCCCTGCCCTCCTGCCACCAAAGAACAGCCCTCCAGACCTCTCGGCCCCTTTCGCGTATGTAGGGGGAATCCTGTCAAGGTGGCATTCAAGGCCCCTGCCATCTTGTCTGAACCCCTGATCTCATCACTTGTGTGTACCCATGTCCTCCAGATGATGCCCTGACCCCCCACCCACCCCAAACCCACACACACACCCCTGTGACAAACCCACACTCAGTGCAGCATCCCAGCCCCCTTCCTGCTATCTGCCCAGGAGGACTTGGGCACCGGTGGTGACATGGGCATGTGTGTGCCGCCCCTCCCTCCCCAACCACACAAGACAGGGTCTCTCCCAGAGAGCCAAGCAACTCCAAGCTGGCCCGGCCGTGCACTCTTTCCCATTAAGAACCACAAGGTTCCACGCTGCTGGGGCCCATGCAGGAAGGATGGGGACAGCCTCTGTATCTCCCCCGCCCTGTGTAAACGGCTTCCCAAGCAAGACAAAGAGGTGCCCCCTGTCTGGGGCTGCTGGGGGGGCCCAGGCCCCCCACCAGGCCCCCCAATGGGGGAGGGGGCTGAGGGTTAACCTGCTCTTCCAACACACCCAGGAAGCCACACACAGGCCACAGCTTTGAAACGTACTTTTAATCGGCTCTCGTCTACAAGGTAGCCGATCCTCCTGACACCTGGTCTACCGCGTCCTCACTGCCCCACCCCACGCATCCAATCTGGGGTCTGAATCCTGACCCGAGAAGCTCGAGCAGGAGCAAAGGGTGTCCCAGGACCCAGCGGCCCCTCA